CTTATTAGGGCGGGCCAGATAGTTTCGGCTGTCTGATCTGTGAGGACCCCCGCAGTTGCGGCACTTGTTGTGTCCTTGGCATTCCGAAGTGGAGTGCATTGTTGAGGTGCAGTTCCAGCACACTGGGGCGCGCGAGCAGCTCTGGGTCCCGTGGTATAAGAGACATCGCTTGCATGGGCTCACAGTTTGGCGTGGCTGATGGCGAACAGCGATTCCCGAGTCTTCAAACAGTTGGAAGCATAGTCTAGGGACGGACGCTCTTTAAAAATGAGCTACCCATATCTGGTATGGGGCTCCGACTCTCCCTTTTCCATGAGGGCGGACCCTTACCGGAACCTTTGAAGTGACCCTGGCGATTTCTTCGGCCACCATCTCGTCGGTGACAACTACTTTACCTAGGAGTGTTTGAATTGCGACGGGAATTGTCGCAATACGAAGGGCCACTAAATCTGAGGCCTTCTCCAGGATTGCGTCTACCTGGACGAAAGACTCAGCAGAGTTCAGAAGGAGCTGTCGTACCTCCAGGTTTTTGGCTCGGAGTGCAAAGCCAGTCGGAACACGATATACATGTTCAATATTCTGCGGGGGTAGCTCGAGCAATTTTGCTGTCGCATTTCGGACACCGGCCGGCGAGAGTGCGCGCCAAGAATGTTCTTTTCCGAGTCGAAGAAACAAACGATCATCTTTGGGGCCAGTTTTCTTAGCTTTTGCCGGAGGTCTCGTTGGTGTCGGGGGTATGTTATGGACCCGCACATCTTTCACAGGTGCCGCTGGCGTGTGGAGGCCAGTTCGGGTAACTGTTGTCCAGGTAGGTTTGACCTGGGTCGCTTTTTGTAGCAGCTCTGGCTGCTTTTTAATCATTTGTCCCACGATCTTTCTGCCATGATTCTGGCAGTTTGGTCGTGGGGGAAGGTTGGGAAGGACTGTTCCTGGTCCCGACATCATGAATTGAGCTATTGCAGCTCGGAGGTAGACTTTCATGGAGTCTATAAATTGAACGCTTGACCCCTTGGATAGAGGTGAGAGCGCATTCTCCACACCATTGATAGCAGCGGTGCATATTGTAAGATTAGTTGCGGTCTGGGCCGCTCGCTGTTCTTCGGCTTCAAGTATGGCTCGAAGCTCGGGAGGACAAGTCGCAGTGTTCTTGGAGTTGCCATCGCTGCAAGAAGTTTGATTATTTCCACTTGTCCTCGGAATGGGGTTCTGAGGGGCTGTGGTCGACGTGCCTTCGTCGGCCTTTTTTAAGTTAACATTAGCTGTCCGCTTCATGGCCGCACAGCAATCTTCCTCGTGTCTGTAATGACGGGGGCCTCTGAGGCCTGACCGTGTTCGGGTTCACTGACATTCCATCGTGAGCTCTCAAGCCCCTCCATGATATATCGGTCGACAACCGCATCACCCATTTCAACATCTGGGTTTTTGGAGTAAGAATCTTCTTCAAAGGCTCTTATCCTTTCGGTCATCTCCGACTCCATTTTTCGCTCGTCTATCGAGCTCAATGGTATGTTCTTTTTTGCCAAGCGCTTTTTCAGCCTGGTATTCGCTCTATCAATTGTTCTTTGATGGCGAATAGGTCGCGATGATTTTGCAGGCCCCAGAGACATAATTGAGATCCAGGGTCTTGCTACTGTGAGAATTCGAATTAGTGTAATTGTATGCGAGACGGAGGGGGACGGTAATGGTAATGGGGTATCTTATTGATTCTCTCACGAATATTCAGGAATTCTAGCTTTGATATTGTGTCATAGCTAGATAGCTGCATACGCAATTAAAATCTGATGCAAAAAAAAATCGCGGATCAATTGTGGTCAGCCTCCCATCAGAGGCTTTACTGACGGAGGTAGCTCGACAGGGCCTTGTCATCAACGCTTGTAAATGGACTGGTCACGCTAGCTATTCGCACAGGTGAGTCCAAAATGTAGTTCCTATTCTGTATAATGAAAGGATTGTATGATATAGACGATTAAGGGTATGCTGAGCCTTACGTAAGCCACCCGATCTTGGATGTGCAAGAAGCATGAATGTTACATTTTGTGTTCTTATTATTTATTTTAGTTTTAAGTCCTAGGCCGTAACCTTCAATCTATTTAGATGTAGGACCGGTGGAGCCAGCCGAGATTTAACCTTAAGGCTTGCCATACTCGTTCACACCCATTTCAGAGCTAATAAATCATGCGCTCGTTAAATAAATAATGTAGTGAAGAAAAAGAATAGAAATAATGAATGGTTTTGAGTCAGCAATCCTCATGCTGAGCTCTCCTCCGCCAGGGTATTTGCCCTGGCACTCATCCTAAAACCCGTCCTTGCGTTCAGCCCAGAACTAGGATGCGTCCAGCCTACCTAAGTAGCCTGTAACCCATGCAAAAATTTTAAACTTCTCTAACCCTTTATGTCCGAGGGGTTGCTTAGTAAAAGCATCTAAGCTCAAGTCTTTTCTAAGTTTACGCGTCAGAATATTGTATCTCCTACAGCGTGTGAAGTGGGTGGGAGTCTTTTCTAGCCCACAGCTACAAACTAGATTTGCATCTTCGTGCTTGAAGCGACGGTGGTACGCCGCAAAATCCCCATGCCCTGTTCTCGCAGCAATGAGTTCGTGTAGTAATCTACGTGGCAACGAAAGTTCTGGGGGTTTACGTCGTCGCATTTGCTGGTCCAAGTCTTTGTATCGAGCTGGACAAGCAGTTGACCACCATTTGTCCATTAATTCTTGTCGTCGCTTTTGCATAAGACGTCGAAGGCAAGCAAGACTGATATAGCTGGGTTGTTTCTGGCTTTCCGAAAGTAGTTTTAGTGCGACCCGAGCTTCTTTGTCAGCCTCCACGTTCCCCTCTATGTTTGAATGTCCTGTGACCCATCTGATTTCTGCGTTGGATATTTGCACAGCATCATGTAAGATGCGAATTAAGCGGCAGGTAGAGGACGAATTTCCAGTCTGCAATGCTCTAACAGCTGCTTGGTTGTCGAGTAGCACGGTTATCTTTTCCTCCCCTTGTCTCGCAATGATAGCGGCTCGCAGCGCGCGCCTATTGCCCCGACAATCTCGGCGTCGAAAGTTTCACATCCGTGCAACGACCCCCGTTCCTACTTGAAGATATATTTTGTGTTCTTCACTACTTATAAATACAGTTTATGACGTGATAGATCACGTGATATATGGATCACCCATTACATTTAAAACGATATCCCCTATAAGAAGATATTTTTTCACGGCCCCGATAACATCGTCTTAGCAGGGGTTTGACTGTACCTTTATGTACAAATGCCTAGTGCCGCCTAAATGACCGGAATCGTGCCGAAACGCATCTAAGTATTGAATTATGATGAGTCCAGTAGCCCAGAATAAAAACAAAAGAAAACTCACGCGCGTAAACCCGCATTTCCAAAGGGAAACATTTAAAACAATCTCCCTTCAATCGATCTGTCTCAGCCACTACACGCCCGAGCCTCGATTCGAATCCCTCTTTCCAATCCGAGTCACCTAGGCTACAGATCTATGACCTCCCAGTCGCACGTATCAGCGCCATCCCACAACTTGCCACTACGTATTTTCCGCTGTCCTGGACGTACACCTTGAACAGGCGCCAGCCGCTTGATCTGAGTAGAGCTTCTAGCGCCGGCGGCCTCCGCATTCCGATTTTCAGTCGCCATGCAGACAGTGCGTTTCTACACTCAACGAGATGGCCAACTGAAATTTCTCTGCCGTAATCACAGTGAAGTACGACGGTGGTACGCCGCAAAGTCACCGTGTCCTGTTCGGGCTCCTATAAGTTGAGCGTATACAGCTCTGGCGATTGTCGCGAAGTTAGTTATCGCTGGGCTGGTTATGAGAGGCTGGTGATCAAAGACGTGACCCCCAAGACTATGATATCGGAAGAGATGTAGTTAGCATAGGAAGGAGTAGCAATTCAGGTTTCTGCTGTAGAGTAGAATTATAAACTGACTTAACTTTCGGTCTTGCTCTGGTGTCTATCATCATCAATTGATCCCGCGATACTTAATTCATGAATTTGGCCTCCGCATATGGGCCATAAACTCTGTCTATTTTTATGTACATGAGATGAATTGACGAAAGGAATCAGGATATGTTAGGATGATAGATTAAAAGGTAGGTAGAACGAGGGTCTATATAGGTATCTATGTAAGATCTCCAATGAATAAGACGACCTCTGCATGAGACAGAGTGATTATGGTAGACAAAGCTTCGACTGAAGGGATAAATAGTAAAATATCAGAAAGTTTTTAAAGGCTGGAGAGCGTGGGTTGTCACTGATGAAGGATTAAAACCAGTGAGCATTGGTACGGAGGATGGTAGTTTACATCGATTTACTGTGAGATCTCAATGGGTTTGGTCAGGCATTTTTACTTTCTTTCTCTTGCTGTCCTCGGCCCTCATTGCCAGGAATTATCACCTCTTTTGAATACTAATATTTGTTAAAACTTTATATCTCGTCACCAGAAGTTTCAAATTTCTCTCTCAAAGGTTCCAGGAAGCATCTTTAGGGTTTTTCATATTCATGGCTAGAAAATTTCCTACTTCTTGTAGGATAATTCCTGATCACCTCTGGTCTAACCTCGAGTATCCCACTAGAGAAATATACCTAGAACTCATATCCTAGAAAGTATTGGAATTTTTCCGTCAAGCTTGATGAGAAATCGAGCATTATCTGCGCTAGCTAGTGTAGGCCACGGGCATTGCGGGTTCACTAGGCCCCACACGGTGACCAAATCAGGATGAAATTGAGTTTCGGCGCGCTAGCATCATGTTCTCTGGACGTTCAGATTTAACATGTTCAGCACGTGAGTAAATTCTGACGTGGTACGGTCATTCAAGTAGTAAGAAGTTTTTGAACTCAATAGTAGTTAACCTGATCGAGCCCGGCCTCACTCGCGCTTAAGCTACCAGAGCAGTGTGGAGGCAGCCGATTGCCTAGAATATATATATATATATATATATACGTGCAAGAATTTATATATAGAAGAGAGAAAAGTGAAATAAGTCAGTATAGTATCCTGGTCAGAATGTGGGCTGATAGAGTTAGCGACTTTACTTGCATAAATACTTAGTACGTACAGTCAAGTAAACCTAGATGCTCGGATATTTCACTGAGTTCTCCTGTGTGAATATATACAATATCTGCCATTAGATAGGCGATCTAAGAGGTGAAATTAGTTGATCTGCCAGAATAGAAGGCCCCAGTATCTGTTAAAGAGTTTAACTTACATCTCCCCGGCTATCTGTCGTCTGCTTATCAATATTATGATGCCCGAGGATTTCATTCACTATTTTTTGTTAGTTAGGCCCAAGTCTTATTTCTTTCGTTAAATTACCCTGCTTCAGGACTCCTGGCACATTTTGATGAATGTAGATAACCTAGATTTGTTAGCACATGCTGTTAATAGTAGTTTTAAAAAATATATTTACCCTCGCATGATTGGATTCGTCTAAAGTAAGAGAGCGAAGGCTCACTTCGGGAAGGTTGACAGCTCCAGATGTCACCCCGGAATTCACGTATCTGATCAATGCTTCGCTCACTATCCTTAGGTGTTAGTGGGGTATACATATCAAGGACTAAGATCAAGCCTCCTCATACCTTCCATTCCAATTGCGTGTTGGGCCTCCTCCGTACTACCTCCAATGTGTGGAGTGAGAATCACGTTGTTGAGGCCTTTTAATTCTTCAACCCATGGATTTAGACTATTGTTGAATCGTGGTCCATTAGCCCCAGGCTCGCTGGGATAAACGTCTAGAGCAGCCCCAGCAAGCTTGCCACGTTTTATGGCATTTATGAGGGCAGGAATATCGACGACTGTCCCTCGGCTGGCATTAATCAGATAGCTTCCATCTTTCATCATATCCAACTGATTCGCACTGATCATGTCTTTAGTCTCAGGCAACTCTGGAACATGGCAGGTGACAAAGTCGGCTCGACTCAGTAGATCAGAAAGATTCGGGACTTGCCGTGCCGAGCCGAGAGCCATGAGGTTGAGGACGTCGTAGTAAATTACTGACATACCCATGGCCTCGGCAAGAACTGAGAGTTGCGAGCCAATATGACCGTAGCCAATGATTCCTGGGACACTCAGTAAGTGAGATACTCGAGAGTCAAAGGAAGTATATCCCAACTGAGAAGGCAAAGATTTTGAACAAACTCCGTGAAGCTACAGAATGAAATAACGAACCAAGAGTCTTGCCACGAATCTCCCAACAATTTGCGCTGACTTTGTTCCAAGTACCCAGGTGGAGCTCCGCGGAACGATCGCAGAGCTGACGAGCTAGGCATATGATCTCACCAATCACTAACTCGGCAACACTTCGAGAGTTGGCAAAAGGTGAGTTGAACACAGCAATACCTTGTTTTGCAGCAAAATCAACATCTACTTGATTAGTTCCAATACAGAAACATCCAATCACAACTAAGTGGCGCGCTTCGCGTAGAATACGCTCATTCAACTTGGTCTTGGACCTGATGCCAATCACGTGAACATCTCTACACAATCATAGAATCAGCAGTCTTTTCGTGTAACAAGTATCGGTAAAATTAATCAAAATTGAGTCATATCGTGCAAAAAGGGGCCTTTCTAACCGTATCTTTTCAATTAACTTCTCTTCTGGGAGCGAAGTTTTCAACGCTTCAACTTGATAACCTTGTGACTCTAATATATCATGACCAGCTTGGTTGATATTTTCGAGTAAGAGAATTTTGATATCCTGTGTGTCAAAAGGCTTGAGCTGTTTTAGTGTTGCATTAATTTCGCGAAGCAGACCTTGGCCTGCAAACGCGGTTCCAAGAGATGAGGATACTCTCCGTCGTGACGAAGCTCCGAGGCTGGAGTGCAATGCCGTTGGTATATCTTGTGCAGTTGCGTCCATATTCATTTCGTAATTTCAAAAAAGCTGCTAGTAGCCTCCTAATTGGGGTAGATTATAGCTTTAATGTTCTTAACGAGTTACAAATGAGGCTTAATGGCGAATAATAAGTACTAGAAAATTCCCGCTAAATGAACCCCACTCCGCGAAAAATAGATTGGGGTGGGTAAAAACTGCCCACACCATTCTTGTTACAAAGCCGCCGATCACGTAATATGTCGTGCATGTGTTGACCGTTGGGCACCGCGAAATTGTGGATCAAGTGGGATAAGCGTACTAGTATCTTATACAGAAGACATGTAATGAGGAGAATTATGATGCACAAAATAGTAGAGGATATTCATAAAAATTAACCCAGGTGCAGGGTAGTGTTCGCACAAATTTTGCAGACACATCTATGGGTTGGACGCAATAGATGACAGGACGGATTTGAACGATAACGCTCAGGATGGGTACAATATTGATGGCCGTCAAATTTCGATGTAAGGAAGGAGATTTTTTCAAATTTACAATTGTGCCCGATAGTACCCATTAAATCAGAGTAAGGGCGACACTATATATATATAATTTTTTTTATCATATTGTATTCAGCTAGCTAGCTATGACAATTTATTTAACATACATTCAAAGCAAATAAAAATCCTCATTTTGTCTCCTTGTCTCCATCTTACTCTCTTCTTTCCCATTATGTTTTGTACCTGTTTAATCTCCTTTATGTGCATTTATGCACCCAGAAGCCTTCAAAAATTCTAATAGTGCATCTCTACCTTTCTATTTTCTGAAAAGAATAGGTAGTTTTAATGGTTCTATATTTTTGAAAAGTCTTATTCTTTCGTTTGAAAAGCTCCTACAGTGTAGTATTAGATGTTACATGGTCTGCTTTTCATTTTTGCAAAAGTTGCAAAAGTCATAATTACATCCTCAGGGCTCCAAACATGCAATGAGCAAGGCAGTGTAGGTGCTTGAACATGAAACACCTACTCGTGACATGAATGCCAATCTAGTCTTGGCATTACTCAGCAAACACCCACACCTCATGTATATAGAGCTCGCTGTAGTTACTCCTATTTCTCCTTCCATAGCCAATCTATTTTACATTCCCAAGGCTGCCTCTCTACCATTTTCATACCTCGTGATTGTCATCCTTTGTTTTTCCAATTTTATGCAAGTATGCCCTTGCATTTCCTATGCCAGTTCTAGCTTGAAAGTAAGCAGATTCTGTACTACTGCTATGTACTTGGAAATTGATTGGTTTGGTTGTAAATAGTGGGGTTGACATCTGGGACTGGATCTTATAAAACTTGCCCAACCCCTTGCTTTTCCTCCCTTCCCCCTCAAAGAAGAGCTCAGAAGTCCAATATTCTGACCAAGCTTTTAAAGTGAGTTCTTTTGTTCTTTGCTTCAAAAATGAGTGTGTGGTAAAGTTGTTCCTTCTCAAAACCTTCTTTTGCTTGCTCTTTTTGCTGAGCCATCAGTCAGCTCGTTATCTTCAAATCCAGCATGCCTGGACACCAGGAGAGATGAATGGTACAAGCTTCAGCTTCTTTTCTGATCTGGTGAGTGAAGAAATTGTCCTTCTTTTGAATCCTCATTAAGCTAGCTTGACTGTCAGTGAAGATGTGGTATTGTCCATGTGGGAAGATCTTTTTGAGATATTTGATGGCTTTAAAAATACAGAATGTCTCTGTGTCTGTTATATCCATAGTGTCCCCAAGATTGAAAGAGCAGACCTTCATTTCTCTACCGACTGGGAGATAAATCACAAATCCAATACTGCTTCCTTTCCATTTGGTAAGAGATCCATCAGTGTATACTCCAGCTGTGTTGGGGGAGAGTAAACTGATTGTAGATGCATGTTCTTTTGCAGCCACTTCCTTGGTTGATTTGGAGACAGTAAGTGAGATATTATGCTTCAGCCAGGGTGCAACCCAAGTGGCATCTATCTGTTCCAAGTTCTTGAGATGTATAAACAACTTAAATATTTGACCTATGTTTGAAAGCTGGGTAGGAGTTGATGATAAATACTCCATTATACCCAATTCAGTTTCAGTTGACCAGGATGAGTTGACTGGAGTCTCAGCAGTCGAAGGGCATGATGGTAGGCCTGTTTTTGTAGTCTAAATTTAGTTGGTAAAATAGCTGCTTCGACTTCAAGTGCTTTAACCGGGCTGATATGGTATGCTCCAGTGACCATTCTGCATGCCTGATTCTGAAGTCTTTGGCATTTGTTGATTAATGCTCCTGATCCTCGCTTCTTATACCTAAATATTGATCACAATCCAGGACAGGGCGACACTATAATTACCGCCATGGTTGGAAGGTATAGTGGTACATCATCTGAGCCAGTCTCCCAAGTAAATTCCGGATTGCTTGGAGACTTATCCCACCTGAGACATGATTTGCCTAGTTTGGAACCGACATTACACAACCAAATTTCTCAATCCCAAAACCCCTCCTCACCACACAACAGTTTACATATCTTCTTAATCGATTTCCCGACCTTTTATTCGTGCCAGTCGACAAGAAGTACCACGGGGGGCGTAAAAACCCAGCGATACTCGTATCCCCCGCTCGAACTGCCCCGCGCGCTGCGAAACGTGCGAGGCCTCGTTTACCTCTTACAACCATACAGCAGGAAGTCATCTTACCAGCCGAAGCTGAGAAACAACTTCCTCCATCCCAATCTATCGATATGGATCCAGGGCCTTAAAACGAAATTTTTTCCCTACTCCATCCCTGAGAATTTATCACCTACCTTCACTCCAGTCTCCACACTGACAACGGCCGTACAAAGGCCCTCCCAGCTAAAGATTCTGAAAAGACATTCTAGCTAGGGTCTCTAGCTCGATTTACGCGTCGACGAAAGACAACGCAGACGAGCAGGAACCCTGAACAAGTCTTCCCCAACCCGGCCCGCGTACAACTTCGAGGATTATCGAACGCCCCTCGGCAGCGATGTCATTTGTCATAGCTGCTTCATTGTTGGCCTGGCAAAATGCTGGAGTCCAACACCTACGGGCCCTTCCGCCTACAATTATAGCGGACCTTAAGGCTAACGTGACGCAAAGCATAGCCCGAGTCATTACAGGTCTTCCTATCTTCGAAACTCCCCAAACTGCTCACAGCCTGAAAGTTAGCGCGCAGCTAAACCCAACAAAAGAACCGCCAAAAGTTTCTTCGTACTCAAATGCTGCGAAGAGAAGCCTGACTGTACAGATATAACCTCCTAAGGCCGTACCAAAGGCCACACCCTCGACTTAGAAACAAAGACCAGACCCTAGAATTATGATACGCCTAGCGCCCGACCATCCCTTGCGATACCAAGAATCTCTTCTAGTTCGTACAAAGCTGGGAAGCCTACTCTAAAAACCAGAATTGATCAAAGACATCAGGTCGGTTCCTTCTGGAATAGCCCTCGTGGCCCCCTCATCTGATCTAAATTTTAGAGCTGATGAAAGTAGCTCCTTCTTTGCAACCCGCCACAGTAATTGTGCCGATCGAAAGACAGGAAAAACGAGAATATTTCATCCTCATCCCGTCCCCAAATACGGGTAAAACGCTTCTAGATCTCTCGAAGCCCTTACCGATGCTGACATCCATGAAGAACTCACAACGGCAAAAATCGACACAAAATCGATTCTTTCTATCAGCTGGACACGTAATTCTGTGGCATCCCTAGAATGGGAAGGTACTCTCCGACTAGTAGTTGCAAAGCTAGCTGTACATAAACTCCCCTCTAGCGTCCGCCTAATTGCTCGGTCCACTAAAATTTGACCGGCTGACAGTCGTCCACGCCTCCAAGTCTATCAACAGTGCCATGGGGTTCACAACATCAATGCCTACACCCGGAGAGCTCGTTGTGGAAATTGCGCGTTAGACTTCCATAATGGAACGTGTGTGACGCCCACCAAGTGTCTGAACTATGCAGGCCCACATGCCGCCTCATCTCCCAGATACCCAGCCCGACCTTTTCGAGCTAGCAGAGTATTCGCTCGCTCTGACAAGGAGAGAATATGGATTATGCGCCAGAAGGGAAACAAGTCTTGGCTTGCTCTTAATCCCCCCCGCCCCCTTCTGACCCCGTCACTGGGTCTCCATTGGCACAATCCTCGTGCACTGTCACAGCAGCATGTAGACAGCAGGGCAGAGATATGGGTCAGAGAGGTGATATTCAGGCTAAAGGGTGTCTTAAGAAAGATACGTGGGACACGGTATTACGTTGTAAATGTTGACTAAAGAACCCTATAGCTACAGATGAAATCTATGTACTGCTATGAAGGTCATGTGACCTGTCTAGCTCAGTTTATATGACTAGGTGAAATGTTACCCCTAGACACACCCCCTTACCTACGAAACTTAACAAGATTTCATCAAGCATCCGAGGAAGTCATATTTAGTTTTCCGACAAACTTTTTAAAAAGAACAGGCAACAATGCCTTTGTGAACCCCTCTGCAGCATTTTCTAATCCTGATTTCCATTCCAATTCAATTACTTTGTCGCTTATATATCCCCGCAGTTAGAATACAGGTACATCGTAATGTCTCAAGGAGCCGTGTTATTAGTATTCCGTAGGGTACGAATTTGGTACAAGTAGGTTACAGGTGTGGAGTATGGTGGTGATTCCTAAGAGTAGGAGGTATAAATTCAGCGTTAGGTATAGGGATAAAATGAGTAGTAGGTGAGAAGGGTACAATAACGGCGGTCTTCTTTAGAGAAGACATAAGTAAGTGAACAATAGGTATGAGTATAAACAGAAGACGTTGCGTGAAGAAGAATACTCCTTCACGCTGGGTATATATGTACATCAGATAATAGGACAGCCCTAAGCTCTGTCTCGAACAGTATTACTACGCATTCCCTATGAAACTACCCTATGTTCCTGAGCCTGTCCTAATTGTTTGAGAACTTGATCTAACCCCGAGTTGTGTTTTAGAATGGAACTCCCCATGAGACACCATCCTAGTTTCCGCCACGTTTATCCATGAAATAATGTTTGCTCTTTTGAGTT